TGGACTGCTCACCTGTCCCCAGACAGAGTTGCATACTCTCCAGCCCATCCCTAGCATAAAGGGCAACACCCCCTCCCTGCCTGCCAGGCCTGTCTTTCCTAAAGAGCCTGTAACCTTCCATTCCAACACTCCAGTCGTAGGAGCCATCCCACCATGTTTCTGTGATGCCTATTATATCATACCCCCGTAGATGTGCACACATCTCTAATTCCTCTTGTTTGTTCCCCATGCTACAGGCATTTGTATAGAGGCATCTGAGCCGAGCTCCAACTGAAGCCGGCTCATTGGCTGGAGCAGCTGGGATATCTCTACATTGCTCCAGGCATTTATTATAGGTGCTGGCAACTGACTGGGTGTGTTGGGATGGAATGACGCCCCCTCCCCCAACACATCCAGTTTAAAGCCTCCTTGACCAGTCTGGCAAGCCTCCTACCAAAACTGCTCTTTCCCTTCTTTATCAGACCAGCTCCACCAGCCCCCAGCAGACCTGGCCTACAAGCTTGGGTCCCATGGTCAAGACACCCAAACCCCTGACTATGACACCACCCTTTTAACCAGTTATTAACCTGGCCAATCCTCCTAGCTTTTTTTAGGTCCTTCCCTGTACCCTGGAGAATTGATGAAAAGACCACCTGAGCTCCAGAGCCCCTAACCACCTCCCCCAGGGCTCTGTAGTCCTTCTTTATGTTCCCCAGGCTACTACTATCTATATCCCTAGCACCCACATGTATCACCAGGAGTGGGTAATAGTCCATGGGACTTACTAGAGCAGGCAGCCTCTCTGCCACATCCCTGATCCGTGCCCCCGGTAGGCAACACACCTCCCTTGAGACGGGGTCTGGCCGGCAGACAAGTGCTTCTGTCCCTTTCAGTGTAGAGTCCCCTAAAGACCTGCCGCTTTTTCCTAGCAGCACCAGTAGAGATCTTCTTTAGCAGTGCATCAGCTGGCTGTTTCTGGCTCGAGTACGCTTCCTCATTAGCCCCCTAATATGTAGATTGAACAAATCACGGGCCTTTGTATGACAAGCTGAGCAGTCTGGAAATTGCATTTAAAATATTAAGTAATACTTTGAAAGAAAATAGTAAGCTAAGAAATGGCAATTTAGAAACTTGCCAGAATATTAGTCCTTCCATATTTCTCCTTTCTCCGCCCTCAAGCTCACCTAGTTTCTCTCGCACCAGTAATATTAAACCTATTGAAGGATAAAGAATGTGAAGGAACTGAGCATGTTTTCATTTAGGACTTGTTGGTAATTAACATCATTTAATTAAAAATTTCAAATGCAACTTCTGAAGTTCTCTAGCAAGTTTTAAGGAAAGTGCTGATCTCAAGAGTTCTTACACATCTTTCCTGAATTGTTGTTCTTTTATTTGGTTATACAATATTCAGTTTAGAGGGGTATGCATTTTGACTTTTAAAGCAGGTATAGTTATGATTGTGACAGTGCCTGTCATAGAACTGTAGGATGGTTAGGGTTGGAAAAGACCTTAAGATCATCTGGTTCCAGTCCCCCTGTCATGCGTAGGGGCGCCTCACACTAGACCATATTGCCAAGGCACAGTCCAACCTGGCCATCTTCAGATTAGACTTGCAGGTCAATCTGGTTTTCAAGATGTAGGCTCTAATTGGATGTGCTGATAAATGATTCAGCAGTATGTTTAGTTAAGTATAATTGTAAGGAAGTTCTCAGCTCTACTGGATTGCAATCTCCAGTTTAGTTCAGTTTTGTGTTTCTTTTAATATTTCATGTGGGGGTCTATTATTTGGAGATCTAAGCCACTGTAAGTGCTGTTCTTCTCCCTATTTGTCACTAGTGAACCTTCCTGATTATTTTTAGTTTCGAGCCTGATACATTTTGGAAGTGTAAAGAGAAGTAAAGTTGAGATACATTAAATGAAAGTGCAAAAGTTTTATGGCTTACTTTTTCAATGGATTTTCTGAGCATTATGCAGGATGGTGTTTCTTCATTTATTTTGTTGTGTTAGTTTGCCAATGCTCTACTATGACAGAGGTGACAATACTGTTAGTTCAATGATATCTTTTAAAAAACTTTCATAATGGGTTTAGTTACTTTATATACCCATTTCTGTAGAGTTTGTGTGTATATACATATATCTGTATAAAAATGTATAGATATATACATACATATGTATATAAAAATTAAGGAAGTCTGAAAAGGAAATGTAATAGAGGTTTTCCAAGCTCTTTGATCTGCCTTGTATTTAAGTTTTGAAGAAGGTACCTACTTAGTTGTTTGTGGAGGAGAGCTCCAAGAATGAATGTCAATTACTCTGCAAAAGGTACAAATGGATTGTCATATTTAAGCTATAATATAAAGAAATCTGGTAGATAGTACGTATTTTTTTAAAACTGTATTGCTTTTAAAGGGAATAACTGGGTCATTTGGAATTCTCTGGCGGGACTAGGAGACTGCTGCTGCCCTTGGAACATATTGAGTGGAGGGAAGAGGAGAGCTTCCCGGCTACAAGTGTGTAGGCACTGGAGAGCTGTAGTTCAACAGAGATGGATGAGAGGAGCCACTCCATAACCAGGCCTTAGAAGGAAACTTCCTAAGGATATAAAAGGATAGTACAGTTTGCTGCAACTAGGAAAATTGCTAAAATGGGCCTATTTAATTGGACCCATCATCTCCATTAACTGGAGATAATATCAAACTGGTCCACCCAGTTTTTTCATGAAGTGTTGTGGGTTTTTTTCCCTCTGGGCTTCTCAAACATGTTTTGACAAATGACAATTTGGCCGTCCTAGCTAGAGGGATATGTCTGGGCTGTGTTGAATAGCCATGGATTGATCTATGAACCTTTTTTGACACCTTTGGTTACATTTAGCTTCTTTAAAACCTGCAGCAATGACTGCAATAATTTAATTATGTGGTGTGTGAGATTTATCCTTTGATTTGTTTTAAGCCTGCTGCCAGATGATCTAATTACATGGCACTCATTCATGTGCTTGTGAGCAGTGACTAACGGTTCTGTATTTACCTTCTCTATAACTTTGGTAACTACAGAGCATTATTACAATCCTGTGTTTTCCTCACATTTAGAGGGATGTCAGTCTGTGTAGTTCCTCACAGTAGAATCTTTGATTTCTCTTATAACATGTCCTTTTTTATTTCTTCTATGCTGATAGATCTACAGGCAGCACTCAGTGTGGGTGTAGCATGGATTTATGCAGTGACGCTTCTGTATTGTTTCACGTTCCTTCTCTAATATTTCATTTAATGTTGAGAATTGGGTTGATGCAAATGACTTCAAGATCTCTTTCCTGGTTGCTATTGATGTAATATAAGCCCAGCTTTCTATATAACTAGTTTAAAATTTATTTTTATTCTTAGCATTTACTCATCAGCTAGTACTGAATTTCAGCAATGTCTTATTGCCAATTTACTCTCTATATTAAGATCTATTGATGCTTTTTCACGATCAAATCTATTTCTGACTATCCTCAGGAATTTTGTGTCATCAGTGTATGTTGACACTTCAGACTTCTCTCGCCTTTTCAGTTCATTTTGAGTTGATTAAGATAGATCCCAGATTGAGCCTTTGATGAAGTGCTACTGGCCATTTTTATTTTTTTTTTCTTTTTGTGAAATTTCTACTCTTATTCTTTACGTTCTATGTTTTAATAAATTAGTAACCCAGAGGAGAGCCATCTTTTTCTTCCCATGTAAATACGATTTCTTCAGGGAGGTTAAGTGGAAACTGTGTCTAAGATTTTTGTTGGTTTTGTTTAAGATCAAAATACACCGGTTGACTGGTTCACTTCTATTGCTGTGTGCAATCTATTTCAAAAGTAGACTTGCTGGCCACGGTATCCACATATGAAAATCCTACTGATTTTTGTCAATGTGTCATTTAAATGATGCATCTATAAACTCCTTTTGCAGGGATTCTCTCCTTCCACCTTCCCAGTTTCTGTCCATTTCCTCTGACATTTTCCCCACATTCTTCTGTATCTCTTTAGAAGCTGATGTAGTAGCTGCTAATTTCTAGTCCTGTGATACAACACACAGCTTTTAATTGGTTATACCGCATTATACAGATTTTACTCCTTTGAAGGTTACTATAATTAAATCTTATCTTTCATGAGTTGGATCAGGCATGATTAGATATTTGATTATATATTTTGGCCAGTTTATCTCCTTATTTAGTTTGTACTTTACAAGGGTATTTGACTAATATATACATTTTGAATATAATAAGTTAACTGATACATTAAAATACTCAGAGGAAAAAAAATTCTAATTGTTACATTTCAGTGTAAAGATTGTAATTAAATGTTTTAGAGGATATATGTATTAATTTTAGAATTAAAACTATAATTTCTGTCATGAAAAAAAAATTGTTTTTAAAGCATGAAGTACCTAGATTTCAGTTAAACACCCTCCTCCCCAGCTATATGACCATTTGCCTTTTGAAAGACTCGTAATCTTTATGACATGGAACAGCCAATTACAATGGTCTGATTAATGTTGCAAAAGTTTTTTTTGCTTGCCTCATTGGGACAATAATTTTTGAGTTAGATACTGCTGGGAATCTTGGCATCCCATAGTTTTTCTATGGTTAGTGTTAGTTTTAAATTCTAGGTATTTTCATCTTTTCTACTTAAAAAAAAAATAAAGTCAAAACATATGCAAGAGGAGATGCTAGCTGAGAGTTGAATTTGTTGGTAGGAACAGAATTAGTCACAGATAGTGTGGACTTGTTTTTGTTAGGTTCATCTCATTAATAGCTATTTTGAAAACACAGTTTAAAAGAGACTTCATAGAAAACACATTAAAGGCTATTAGTAAAAGGCTGAGAAATAAAAAAATTAGCCGTGTTCCCCAAGGAAAAGTTACTTTGCATGCTTTTATAATATTTGATAGATTTATTGGGCATGCTACACTGCAACTTTATTGTAATCCTTGTCCCAAATGGCAAATGATATTCTCACTGGCAGTGTTGTTCACTATTGTGATGAATTTGTCAAAAATGTCTTGCAGTTTAAAAAGACATTCCAATGTTCTGCTTGTATAGAAAAGACTGGCGAGCTAGTCTTACAGTCTTACAATTGCTGGAAGACACTTGACACATCTTGACCTTCTACTTTCATATTAGTTTCTCCATTTCAGCCGTGCTATCAAATAAAAGAAAAAAAAATAGTGAAGTCTGGGTATTTTTAAGATCATTTCAACTTGATTTATCATAAGGTTTGAGGTTTTTCGGGGGGGGGGTATCACTTTTTGAAATCTTAGGGTAACCACTTAGAGAAGCAGAAGTCAGTAGGTTACTTAGAATAAGGAGCAAGTCAACTATAATTTCCTATGCCTGTATTCAGAAACCTTTGCAATGAGAATGTTGCACCTAAGGGTAAATTGTGCTCATGAACTGGGCAGCAAAGTGGCTTAGAGAGTAAGCCACTGGAATGAAAACAGGTTTTTGGATAGGATACTACATACATACATTACCTTTGTATGTAGTAGGTTATACAGTATGCCTTGTCTTCAACCAAGGGAGAGTGCAGTGATAGTTTGAACAGCAGAATAAAACATAACTGATGAAGAGGCCAATGAAGAAAAGAAGCTGTAGTTTTGGAGATGCTGATTGTGGCACAGAGATGATTTTTCTTTCCTGGAAGTGTACCATTAATTACTATACTAACGAAGTGTGAAATTCAGCGTATATCTACATAAAGTGGGTACATTTCAGGAGGATGTGCTATTAAATGTTATTAAAAAAAAAAAACAACACGTTTCACAAGGACTTTTGGAGTTTCATGGTACTGGGAACTCTTTTTCCATCTTGTAACTGAAAACTGAGCTTGTTCATTCCTCAATCTTTTCGTAGATAGCCTTTTCATAGCAAGATTAGCAAGTAGGAACAACTACCACAGCGGTCTGACTGCATACTCTCTACCTGGATGGATGAGTTTATCAAGTTTTGGGTTGTTTGTGGGTTTTCCTTTTTTTTCCCATTTAGAGCAGCATCACATTACTATGTGGAAAATAATTTTCTCTGTTTCTGCTGCTGTTTGATTTTTCTTTTTTTTTCCTCAGCTGCCAACTAAAGTACTACTTAATATGAATACATTAGAGAAAAGCAAATTGGCACTTTCTGTAGAATGCAGCAATTTGCATTCCCTTGTTCTTCTCTGTTTCTGACAGCAATCTGTATGACGTTCTTCAGAGTTTCAATATTTTTTCCCCCAAGAGATCTCATCTTGTATTTCCTGGCACTTCAACCAGAAACATGTCCATTAAGTTTGGTTTTTTTTTTTCAATACTGATTTGACGTTCACTAACAAGTGATTTTGTAATCAAACTCATAATTATACTCTCTTCTGTTTTTAAATTATTGCTTTTAATTCTTTAGCTTGAGCAGCTGAGAATTTAGTTAGTTCAATTCCCATGCATAACTTCCAACCACAGCACTGCAGCAATATTTGCTTTCATTTATGACATAATACCTTCTTTGGCTGCTTGACCAGTTTCTTTCAGCTTACTTCCCTAACTTCGGTCCCTGTAATGTTTCTTTTTGGGTCATCATCAAGTTATATAAAGAAAACAAAACTGTTTTGTGTAAAGCTTGTACCTTGTCACGATTTTGTAAAAATTCTTAAGAAAACAGTTGATGCAATAAAATAAAAAAGTGGCAGTGTTTAGTCATTTTGTTACTCTGAAGGTGCTGTGTCTCTGATCTAGCCTGGGGGATTTGAAAATACAGCCTCATGGTCTGAGAAAAATAGTGTCTTGTGCCTGAAGTTAGCTTGGGGAACAACTGTAAGGTTTTGCAAAAACAAATTGTTCAGTGAATAGACTTCATGAAAGTGTTGCTGATTGTTTGCTTCCCCACTGTAGGAATTTAGTGCTGACAGATTCAGAATGGAAGGGCACTTTGTATAATCCTTATTTAACTTGTGAAATGCCTTGGTGTATGATACTGTATCTGCCAGAAGTTCACATAGGTTCTGAAAAGATGATCAGAGAAATGCAAAGATGAAAAATCTACTGACCTTTGTAATATGCAAGGCATACAACTTAGGGCTCCTTGTTGCTGAGGCTGACAAATATTCTGAGAATTAACACAGTTTACTTACAAATATTCTTATCTTGAGGTTGGTCTAGATGATTGTTTGGTCTAATTCATTTGATGTGACCTGTTCTCACATTCATGTTAGTTTTTGGCTGACAGAGTTGTACATCTTAATTTTATGCTGCTTGTTTGAGGGGTACTTGGGAGGAGAGGAAAAATGTAAGTATTGTAAAGAGATTTTTATAGAGAAGGCTGTTATAAAAATCTTTGAAAAATTCAGTATCTCCTTTTCTTCAGCTCAGTGCTGAAAAAAAACCCAACTTGATGTCATATGAAATAGTTTCTCTGTTTGCTGGGAGGAAAAAAAGATCTTGAGACTCATTCCTATAGGAATGAGTGTAAGAGGCAGAAAAAAACATTGGTTAAAAAATTCAAGTAAATAGAGGGGAAATTGGTTCATCTCTAGTGTTTTTAGTTACTGCATGAGGAAAATATCAGCATACAGTAAAATCCTTCAGCATAAGATTTGTGCTTATCCTTCTATTACAGAAAGACAAAATGTAAGGTTGCTCTCTCCTTCTGTTCCAATATGATACATTGACAGTGTGTCAACACAGCAGTAAAGGATTTTATTATGTGTAACTGTAAAATAATCCAATAGGTAAATGTGAAAAGGATGTTTTGGGAGCAATTTCTAGATTTTGCTTTTTGTAAAATAAACACAACTTTAAAAAATGGTTTTAGGTTTTGGATGACAGTAAAAGAAGTACAGAATGCCGGAACACCAAAGCAACTGTACTCGGTCAGAGCAGTAATCCACCTAGCACTATTTCTTGTCTTTGTTGGTGATTGGGACCACAGGCTCCAAAGGAAAATGCTTATAATGGGCAATTAAAGTATCTGCACATAGCAGGCTTTTTTCCTCTGGCCTCCCTCCCCCACTTGCCATAAATTACTGGTTGGCCTTTAGTCTGACGTGCAAGTCTGACAAAACCTAGAAGGAACAGGAAATGACCTAAGTGTGGTTTTAGCCATTTTTTCATTACCTACATAAGAAGAAATAAAAAAAAAAAAAACAAAAAACCCACCACCAAAACCCAACCAACATCCTACATTCCCTTGATAGGCAAAACACCTTTTAGAAACTTTTTGAAATATTTGAAGATCTTAAAATAAAAATATTTAAAGGAAGATCAGAGCAAACATAACAAGCAATAAAAACCCCATAAAACTTCCTACAGCAGAAAAAGTAGAAGCTGATCTGCTTGATACTCCTGGTTACAAAAGCAGAAGTAGCATGGCTTTTTAAAAACAAACAAATGAAACAAACATGTAAAAAAGAAACAAAACCCCAACCAACCAAAAAATATTTTTCAGCTCACAGGGAGAAATATTAACTTTAAAAATAAGCCTCCTGAAGGCGTAACAGTCGAACATTTTTGCTCTGCTTTTATACCTCTGCTGAGGACAAAGTTACTGAAAACAGTAACTAAATACATGAACACTCTAAAGTGATTTGTTAAAGTTTACTTAGGTGCAGCTCTTGTCAAAGATTTGCATTTCCAGGGAAGAACAGAATACTGTGGAGTCTGGTGGAAACATTATGGTGTCCAGACACCTGTATGTTCCAGTGTTGTTTTTATGTGTTTGGCCAAATATGTTGCAGGAACTATTTAATGTATAGAATAGTATTAACTAAAGCAATAAAGTAGAAGTAAGTTTCTTTCTTTTGAAGGAAGATTCTAGACTTCCTAAAAAATTGAAGATAATGCCTTTCATAAAAGAGTCCAGTAGAGTCAAAAACAGCATCTAGGGCAGGATACCTCTGTTTCCTTCAGTACGTGTATCTAAACCTTAGACTCATGAAAACACTTAGTTTCTGTTAAAAGATTGTGGCTATCTGCAGACTTCATAACCTATTAGCCATTTGCAACCTTGGATAAATAAATTGTATAGAGTCAGGAAGTGATAAGTAGTAAGGCTCAAAAAATATCCTATTTTTTTCTTGTCCCATTTATTTTCATGGAAGGTTTACTGAGTGGAGAAATATTGTGACTCTAAATGCCATAAGTATCATTTTCCAAGTGCTAAATTTTGTCTTGATTACAATAATTTACTCTAGTGGCTATTGTCTTGGTCTGCAAGATTTCACAACAGTATGTTGTCTGTGTTATCTAAATAATGCTATCTCTACTTTGACAGTCATCTTTGGTTGAATCACCTTAGTTACTGAATACAACTTAACTACTTAATAACATACTGTTTTTTAAAATCTACCTTTTTTAGAGAGAGGGAGAAACCCCCAGAAATAAATAAAATCAAGACTTCTAAGTTGTACACTGCTGTGTTGGTTTTGTGTCATTAAATTACATGGATTAGAAAAGCTAATTGATTGTAAGCTGTAACAAAAGACTAATTTAGAAGTAAAATCAATGAATCTACCATCAGTCACATTTGAAAGGCAGTCACGAAAAGAAAGGGATAAGTGAGGTTACCTTTTTCATATTTCACAATAAATTAGTTTCTCATCTGGTTGTAGAATTTAGCTTTTGAATGAGGTGATGTTTTACAGAGTTGATTTCTGAATCAAGTTGCTATGGTGTTGCTTTCATTGTTTAGTTAATTCTATGCTTGGTTGCTATGGAAATACTTATTTTCGGAGCTAATGCCTAATGGTGTCAAACAGATGCTACTAGCAACTAGAAATCTTTTATAGTTGATAAATGAAAGACTCACTCAGAAGCAGAAGCTCATTTTTGCACTTGTTTTCTCCCCATTAAAATTTTGGAGCATGGAATGTGAATGGGCGGTGGCAAGTAGGACAAGTTTTCTTAACAAGCATTGAAGCACAGGCTGAATCTTCTGAACAATATCATCATTGGAACAAAAACTTTCCGCTTACCTAGTTCAGGCAATCAAACAATGATACTACATTGTGTATGGCCTCAGTGTGCACATTTCAGCTTAGGTTATAGAGTAAATATTAATTATATTCTAGTTTTAAAATTGACTTTTAGATTTCTTAGCTCTGAAACATTTTTTGGTAGCCATCTAGTTTAAATCTCTGCATAAGTATGAATATTGTCCTTAGTATAACTTTGCATAAACACAAGTAATTCTCAGGTAGCTAAAATGATAAAATTTTGTATTTTATAAGTTAAATTATTCTGAAAATATTAGTACACAATTATCTAGCAAAATATAGTTTAAGCTGAGCACTAAAGTAAAAAAAAAAAGTATTAAAGTGCTTAATTTACTTTTATAGTACTTCTAGTGGTTTGTAACTTGAGAAAATTAAACCCTACAGGCTTTTATTGCATTCAAACCTTTAGAAGTTGAAAATACTACTCAGTGTGACTTTAGCCAAATGGAGCTATGGCACTTGCACAAAGAAGATCCAAAAGAACTTCACCCTCCATGGCATCAACTCACTTCTGAAAGGCACATTTTTACAGGCCCTGGAAAATACTGGTTGCACCATCATAGGAAAGATAACATTCTGTTAAGAAAAATCATTAAAAACCAAGCTGGTTTTCAGTGACTGTCTTCTCCTCTTTCTCATCTGGTTTTAGTTTATTAAGTCTATGAAGTTCTCAGGAGCACTTTTTTCCTTTTTCTTTGTAGAAGTTATTATTGTTTGTTCTTGTTGCTGTCTGATCTATAAGGTGTATTATATTATGGAAGACCTTTATTACTGTTACCTTGTGTATTTTCTAAACAAATTTTTCTGATGTTGCTGACAATGTGTGCTAGCCTCAAGTTTTGGTAATTCTTGGGTTGATTCAACAATCAGGGCCTTCGCCTCTTCTACTCCTCTCACCGCTCCCGCCCCCTCCTCCCCAGTGAATAGATGCATTACAAATAGTGTCAGAGAAGTTGATTCTAAAATCCTCAAGTTCAAATTGCATGGCAATGCCTCTGGAGTATATGGAAATACTGTTTTCATTGATTGAGAAAATATAAACAAAAGGTAATATCTGATGTCTATTGTCAATTTTTCTGCATATTCCCAGTAAGTTATATGTATTTAAAAATCTTCTTAGATTTGACTAACCACCCATAGAACTGTCATTCTTCAGAATAGCAACCCTCTGGAGGATTTGTTGAGCTTTAACAGCTTTTAAAGCCTTTAAAAAAATGTATTTCCAGTAATGTAAATTCCTTCTGTTGATACTCGTTGCCTGTTTTGAGCGACATGTTTCAGTTTGAACTAAACCTGTCACTGCCTGACTGCGGCCAAATCACAAAATGTGACTTACACTGAAAGGGTTTTCATAAGCTGGCTTGTCTTCTTTTAACTATGTTGAAATTTATTTCATAGGCTAAAAGGTTCGATTATTGTAGTTAAGCATAAACATTAACAGTTCCTGAATGTTAAACAGCAAGGCATAGCTCTGTGTTATGCATGGGGTTTGGGTTTGGTTTTCATTAATTGTCCTCCAAAATTCTTATCATAAAAAAAATCATGAAAGTGTGATCATTGCTCTTTGAATGGACTGGGAGACTCTAGGGTTAGAGTCAGGCTGACAAGAGGACTTTTCCTCCAAACTGACTGGTAATTTGGTATATGTGCTTATGCAGAGAAGGCTATACACTTTTCACCTTTCATCTGCAGTATCAGAGCCCACTGCAGTTTTATTTTCAGAGTACTTCCCAGATGTGCAATTGCTGTGATGTTAGCACTGACAATGGATGCTTAAAAGTGTTTGAGTTGCTAAGCAGAGATTTAAGCTGTAGCTTGAAACTTCTGTGACTCAATTCCCTCCTAGATCAGGTGTTTCTTGTTGGAGGAGGCGAGGAAGAACGTTATGTGCAGTGGATTACAAAATCTTAGTGTTACAGACTACAGATCTTTCTGCAACAACTTTTATGGTTGCAAAATCAAAAATTGCCAAGGCTCTGCCTAAGACCTATTTTAAGGTCTGTTGGTCTATTCACATTAAAAGTAAACTGTGTCCTTTTTACTCCTGTTGCAACATTCATGCAACTCTAGGAATACTTCTTAACTTTTGTTAATGATCCACCAGAATTAATTAAGGCTTTGCCAAACTCTTAACAAAAATAATGCCAAAAATGCTGCTTTTTTAGTATTCCAGATTTAACTTGTAAGGCATGAAGTTAGGCTAATGAAACTAAGTCTGTTTAGTAGCGAAAAACAAAGTGTGGTTTCTTTACAGTTAGATTCTGAATAGCATGGTAGAGTGTAAATTCTTTAAACAAAGAAGTTTTTGTAAAGAAGCAGAATTTACCAGCTCTTAACCTTTAAAACTGTCACACGCACCCCACACATCCCCCGTCCCTCAAACCGTTTCAATTCTGCAGAAGTTCTGCTAAGGGATATGCTGCTGGTTTCTGTTTCTTTCTCCCGAAACTGTTTTTGTGGGGGACGCTCTCTGGACTTGAGTGCCATCTTGTGGTGCGTTGCCGGCAGCTAAGGCAAGGTAATAACCCCCTTTTCTTTATTAACCTGTAAGTAAGGATTTGATTAGGGTAGAGAAGTAACTGAGTTGTATTTACCATGGGAAAATATTCATTGTATAGTGATCTGCATTTTTTTTCATTTTTGTTTAGTAGAAGAGATTGCTACTTTGTGCCTAAAGTTTTCATCAGCTTATTTTGACCACTTCGGTGTGTGGCACATGGAATGAGCTCTGAACATTGTACAGCTAATATAGACTGTGGTAGCCAGCCAGCTGTGTTAATATACTACCCCTGTCTTCTTTCAGGGGATATGACTTCAAATTAATGGTGATGTAGAGTGAATTAAAAAAAAAAAAAACACAAACAAAACAAAAAACAAAACCCCAAACCCAAAAAATACTCTTGGCACCATACAGGTAAACTTAAGTTTTCTTTATTTTAAAACTATTTTAGTTTCTTTGCTGTAAAATTGGTATCAGCAGAGAAGCTTAAATATTCTGGTTTAAATGACAACAGAAAAATTTCAATCATGAATCCAACCTGTGAAATTTTTTAATTAAAATTGTATAAAATGGTGCCTTTGCCTGGCTACTGCTGACATGTCAGCCTGTGTTTGTTTATTGACACTCTGCACCTTCTGCAGGTAAGAAGGTGACAGTCTGGAACACTATGTTTTGTCCATGAAGATGCTGTTAGTCTGGAAGAAACAAAACCAAACATAGCTCTTACCTGTAAAAATAAGCAGAAAAACATACAGGACTTAAGAATATAAACTGCCAAGTGGGATATTGGCACATTATTCATGCTCTGTAGTTATGGAAAAGAGGGGAAAAAAAAAGGTTATCTTTATATTTGTTTAATTTTGAATACATGTTGTGCAAATGCGTTCATTTATCAGAGAATAATAAGAACCTGTCAAATTAGGAATACTGAATACTTTTGAAGCAAAACAGGCAACTTAATTTTATTTCTGGCATGTTGTTTTTATTTTTTGTCAGTGCAGAACTGAAATAAAGTTAGTGCTGTTGATGTACTTGAAGCTGATAGTATCTTCAGATTGTGTTGCTGATGTTCTTTTGTGGGTTTGGTGGGTTTTGTGAAGTTATTGAGAACATGTAGATTTGTAACCATATTCAAGCAAAACCTAACAACCTCCTGCAAGAAAATGCTTTTAAAATTATCAGGTTTTAACCTGGGGAGCTTTTTGCCTTTTAAAATACCAAATTATGTTAATGTAATTCTTTCTGCACTGCATTTGTAAAATTGCTACTATTTGAATGGTTCTGGAAAGAAAAATATTTATTAAATATACTGGAGGTTTTGAGATAGATTTGCTTTTATATGTTGAGGTGAATAGAAGCAGGGAAGCACTGTCACCACCTAATTTAATGAACATTTTACATGATTTATAAACATTCCAGAAATAGTGAAATAAATAAGGCCATATAATAATTCTGTCATTAAGATGTCTCTGTTGTATGCAATTTCTTCAGACTCTTTAGGACTTTTACTGGGGTAGCATTAACTGAGAAGACGGCCTAAGTTATATGTGGAGAGAAGTGTTTTCTGCTGCATGACATAATCCAGATGTATTCCATTGTTGGTTTACAGCATTACCATATCACCTATTAATCATCTTTTTTTTTTTTTTATCTTTGCAGATGATACTTTGGGATTGGGATTTGAAGCAATGGTACAAGCCCTGTTACCAGGTCAGTATATGATTGAGTACAGAGTTCATTGTAAACTGTCATGTTTCAATTTTTTTCTGTTGATGTTTTGTTTAACTAAGTTGGCCTAGTACATTCTAGCTCTGTGTAAGAGAGGCTTGATATTTACCAGTTCTGACCAAGTTGTCAAGGGTCTTCTTTCTGTGGTGTATATGAGAACAGTCTCAAACCTAACTAAGGTGGGAGTGGGTTTTTTGAAATATCCAATAGCATAAAGTTAGGGAGTGATTTCCCAACAATGTCACCAAGTGCAGGTCTGTCAGATTCTCACCTTTTTTCTTGATTGCTTGTTTCTCCCCCTCTCTCTTGTACCTTCTATCTAATCAGCTAATGCTGTTCAAGTTCACAGAATTATACCAAATACAAACTAATCACTTTTTTTTACAGAATTGTTAGGATTTGTTTCATTAGAATTAGAGTTAATAAAAGTAATGAAGCTGTGGAAATTGCACCTCTGTAAGAGGCC